CCGGGCCGGGGGCCGGGGTAGGGGAGCCCCCGCGGGTGCCGATGGACGCGCTGGCGGCGCAGCTGCTGCGCGACCAGTTCCTGCTGACAGCGCTGGAGCTGCACACGGAGCTGCTGGAGTGCGGCCGCGAGCTGCCCCGCCTGCGCGACTACTTCTCCAACCCGGGCAACTTCGAGCGGCAGAGCGGCACTCCGCCCGCCGCCCCCGGCCCGGCCTTCAGCACGGCGATGGGCGGCCCCTGCAAGGAACCCCTCCCCAGCCAGCTCAGTAAGTGCCAGGCAGGGCAGGATCTCTTCCTTCACCCCCCACCCCCTTTCATCTGTGTCCCTGGGCCTGCGGAGGCTGCCCCCACCCCACCCATGCCCTTGCTTGGCCAGGGGTGATACCTGGTTCCCATGGGCAATGCTTGAGGCACTTGGGGTGCCTGTACATGTGCAGCTAGACTGCTGCAACACGCTGCAGTTGCAGCACATCGGTGTAGACTTGATTAATCAAGTGTGGTAATTACGATTAATGGACTCTGCTGGAGCATGGCAATTGCTGTGCTCCAGCATCAGGTGGATTAGTGTCACTGTGCTAAAAAACAGTATCTCTGTGCTTCGATGAGCTTTAGTTAAAGCGCCCCTGCTGCTGTGTTTGATTGTGAGGACTCTGGTACATGTGACACTCCTGGCCCTTTATTAGCTGAGCTCTTGGTGCGGTGCTGATAAAAGCACCCTGCCTCCTGGGGCACATGTCACCAGGTCAGTTCACCAAGGGCATTTATACAAGTGCCTTTGCCTTGTCTCAGGGCTTCTTTGTTGCTCATGAGTCGGGTGATGGTGACACCCTGTGGGGGCCCCTAGGTGCTCCCTGCCAAGGGCTGCACCTGAGATGCTGTCCCCTCAGAGCCACCTGGTGAGCAGGCAGTGGGCTGTTTTGACCACCATGCTGACCTCCCCTGTGGGAATGGTACTGGTGTCAGTAGAGCACTGGGTCTTCCCTAATTAACATAGGCAGGTTTACAGAGCCACCTGGTGAGCAGGCAGTGGGCTGTTTTGACCACCATGCTGACCTCCCCTGTGGGAATGGTACTGGTGTCAGTAGAGCACTGGGTCTTCCCTAATTAACATAGGCAGGTTTACAGAGCCACCTGGTGCCTTTGGTGCCACTAGCCTGCGCTACAAGAGATGTGCGTCATTTATGCAGGGTGCTTTTTCTTTGAGTGAGGCAGGTCAAGTTGGAACCAAGCAAGCTGCCTTTAAGGGACTATTGGTTGACTGTTCTCATGGATGAGCAAGTGACCTATTTTATGAAAAGGAGCAAGTGTGGCTGTAGGGTTTTTTCACTAAACTGTCCATGTTCTGCCAGGGTTGGTCAAGTGATGATGAAAGGTCTAAAAAAAGATCATCATGGGCAATCCCTCAGTTGAGGATGATTGCCTTATCTGAGGGGCTGAAAATGTCTGGCGAGGCCAATCTGGGATTGACAGGTTCTGCTGCAACTTGGGCGCATGTTTCCATGCAGGTTGGCTGGCTCTGTATTCTTGGTTTGGTTCATGATGTGCTATTTCTGCCCTTTCTGTAAAAGAAGTCCTATAGCGAAGCTGGTTTGAGATATATTCTGCAGACAACGTTGCAAGGGTAGGAAGACACAAGTCTCCTTCACTGTAAGTAGTGAAATCTGGCCATTGAAAGGAAGAGAGGAAGGTGACTGGTTAAAATTTGGAGGGTGTGTGCAGACTTTCTTCAGAAAGAATGTCCCAATTCTTGTGGTAGTGCCAGTTGCTTTCTCTTACCCAAATAAGATCGTTTATGCAAGGGCATACAATAGGCTTTGGATATGGTTAAGAGGTTTCACTTGGTATCTCAGACTATCCAGAAATGCTTATGTGCTTATTGCTGCTTGATAGAAGACTAATGCATTTAAACTTAGACCATTATGTACCATTTATTTTGAGCTGTATTAAATATTTCATACCCTGCTCTCAAACACTGAGAGTTTCCATGCTGGATTCCTCTTGACAAGATAAGTTGAAGTTGCAGAGTTCTGTGCTTGAGGACCTAGTACCAACATAGTGGCCATATAAACTTCCCTGTGATTAAAAATGAAATACCCTGTGGTTATCTGATCGGTCATATTACTTAACATTTCCAAGTTAACAGAGCAAAGAATGTTGTCTTGGGTAGTTCTACTGGCAATGTATTTAATTTAGTTTAGAAACAACCCTCCCTCCCCCCTCGAAGGTTCTTTGGGATTTTGGAATATATCAGTCTATAATTGGTTAAAAACGTTGGAAATTATTAGTGTTATCACACTAAGAAATTCTTTAGTGCACTGAATTAAACTAAAGTTAGAATTTATTTGTAAATTACTTTGGGTTAGTAAGGATAGCAAACGTTGCTTGTAAGCGCTTTTCATTTAGATCTCGGCTATAAATATAAAATACTTCTGAAAATGTCTCGAGATGGAAAACAAAAATATTTCAGACTGAGGGAGAAAAAACCCAAAATTTGATTCTGAAATTCTCCTCTGACTTCTATATGGCTGTCTGATTTGTGGCTTTCCTTTTATTTTAATTTCATTCAATACCACAGGAGAGAACTTGTATTTTAAAAACTTGTAATAGTACAAAAATGAATATAGGAAGTGAGCTGGGTATAGTATTTAATTATTCTTGGTTCACTGTCATGGGTAGATTGACGTGTTTCAAAAGGTTCTGTTGTGCACCTAATACCTTTTTAATACCCATTTAATTTTTAGTTTTTTACATTTTGGTGAAAGATTTATTTTTTAGGGTCAGAAAAGAGTTATATTTACCTCCTGTTGTAACAGGGACCAGAGGACTTTGCCCAGTGACCTCTGTATTGCACCAGATAAACTTTAGTATAAGTTACTTGCAGCATAGAAAACTTTTGTTTGAAGACGTATTGAAAATATTGTATTGTGTACTTTAAGAGCCAGCCATGGTACGTATGCAGAATAACTGATTTTGAGATAAGGGATCGCAGTTCTTCTTGTGTCCTAACAGAAAACCAAAATGGCATTTAAGAAATAAACACTTATATAATCTGTTAATTAAATTATGGAAGTCAAGAATTCCTCGTGATTCTGAGACAGGAGACACTGACATCTGCAATATCCTGAGTTAATGTATTTCATACTTCCCCAAAATGAGTAAGAGATGTATAGTTTCTTGTATCAGTTTGTAAGCCCATCTCTGAGTGTAGACAGCAAGGTCTTTAAAGTCGTACAGATGTCACAGCTGCTTGTTGCAGCATTTCCTTCCCCTTTCCCTAAAACAGTGGTTTTATGGTGGGCATATAGCACTTTGCCTGGGGTATGTACCTAAATTTTGGTACTGGTGGTGGATTGGTCAAGGCATGGTGAGTAATGGTGTTGGTGTGCATTGACATCAATGTCAAAGCTCTTCCTAAGGAATGAGCATGCAGAGATACTTTGCCAAAGCAATATCTTGCAGGTAAAGGGATGTAGGACCAAAGCATCTTGTGTTGGCTGCTGGACACGATGGAGAGCAGGTGAGTTCCAGTAAGATACGAGTAAGACATGGATCAGCAACTTACCTCCCATAGACTAGTTCTAGCCTGCCAAGCAATTTCATCTAGTCCATGAAGCCTGGATATCGGGGAAAGGGGCGTTCTGCAGTGCTGGCCTACCTTGGACAGAGTTGCACTGTTTTCCCCTCACTACTGAATGGTTGCCACTTCCTACTATAAACACCTTCTTTTAGTGAGGTGCAGGGATAATGCTAGTGAGGATCCCATACTTGGAGGTATAGATTTTTCTACCAAATTGTGGAGGGGGATTTTACCTTGATTTTTCTCATGGACTTGCAGAAGCTCTAAGTAAGAGCAGAGCCAGGTGAGAGTAACAACATTGTATGACCTCTATTGTTTTCCACTTCCTTGACTATAATCCCCCTAGAAACTCCTTCCCCCCCGCCCTTTTTTAAAGGATTATAAAATAAAGGAAGTGTCATTTTTTTCAGTAGCTTCTCAAATTCTTATTGATGTGAAAGTTTGTGATTTGAGCAGTGTTTCCAAGTTACTTGATCCAGTGAAAAATCTATTTAATTTTTGTTAAGTCAACCAAAGTAAAGGGTTAAAATTTTGAATTTTGTGCATGCATG